GGTTTAGGGTTGAGGGTCTAGCGTTTAGATGGCATTTGGTTGTTCAGGGATCTTAGTGCACAGGGAAAAGCCAAGGCTCCGACGACGTACCTAGATAATGGATTACCGGGGTATGTAATATATGGGTGGTTGTCAAAATTATGGTCCCTTTTTGGGTTCTTATTATAATACGGCACCTATTATTTAGGGTACCCCAAAAGGGACCATAATTTTGACAACTACCCATAATATGGTTGGTAACCTACCATTTAGGTAACTGGAGCTCTGCGGCATGTTAGGGTGTTTCAGTGCTTGATGGTGCGTGGCTCAGGATGTCTGCAAACATCGATTCAGGCGTTCGGATTCGCAGTTGATCTGGTTTTTCAGGTTTCGGAGTGTTCAGGCTTCACGGTTTAGGGTTTAGGGTGCATGGTTTTGGAGTGCAGAACTTGGAGTACTTAGTTCGGGTTTGTGAGCTTTCTCCTGCACGTGGCTTTTCGGATGAAGTTCAGGGTGCTAAACCCTAAACCCCAAATAACCTATTTTTTTTTAGGACTTATATATAGAAATCATAATTAGGAGCCCCCAAAAAAGGCAGGTTCTTTGGGGTCCAGGTAAACCCTAAACCCTAAAACCCAAAAACCCTAAAGCCCCAAAGCCCTAAACCCTAAAACCCCAAAAACAGCAACTACAATGGAGACTATAGGTAAACCCTAAACCCGAAGCCCTAAATGCCAGCGGTCAGGATGAGGTGGGGTGTTGCAGGTGTGCAGGCTGTGAAGTTACGGAAAAGCCGCTTGCCGACCTGGGAAACCGTCTATCCTACCTGGGACTCAAATTACTTACAGCTTTATGGGTTCTATACCTCCTAATTCAGGGGTAACGGCTGCTAAACTGCTAAACTGTAGGTAAAGAGAGTTATATGCGGGTAGACTTCGCATATTTTGGGGTTCGGTTCGGGAGGCCCCATTTGCCTAGTTCAACCTTAGAGAGTGTAGGTTTGTAGGGGGGTGAGGGTCCATTTAGGTTCAGGATTTTGGAGTTCAGTCAGGGCGTTCCGGTATAATTAGGGTGCAGGGTTTAGTACCCTAAACCCCAAAACCCTGAACCCTAAACCCTAAACCCTAAACCCTGAACCCCTAAACCCTGAATTCTAAGCCCTAAACCAGGGTTTAGGGCTGATCGACCCTGAACTTGTGCCCCAAAAGGCTCTAAGAGTCGCTTGGGATCGTAGCAGACGGCCCTCCCTTGTAGTAAAGAAACCTTCGACCCTAAGCCCTACCCTAGTTCCTGTTTGGAGTTCATGTTTAGAATCCTTTAAGGTATTCCCAAAAAGGAACTACTATGGGGCCTATGGGTACATGCTAGCCTAAAACAGAATTCAGCCCTACACCTAGACCCTAAGCCCTAAACCCTAAAAACCTAGTTTAACCCTCCAGGATAG